AAACTATAGGTATGTAAGCAGTGTTTTTTACAGTGTAGCCTTTGCAATGGCTCCCTGAAACAAAGGTAGGACTTATGAACTCTTACCCACATTTCTGACACTTCTCTGGCAATCCATTAAAAGGAATGCAGGACTGACGCTCAATTCATGCAGACTGCTTTTGTAATATCCTACCGCAAGAATGCACAACTCTGATGACAAAAATGTTTGGATTGAGGCCACATCTGTGGCCTCAGGCCTAGAGCCTAGAATAGGCCATATTGCTTGACCCAAAGCTACAGCATATCTAAGCACCATGTTCCCAAATGTTCTTGTGTTAGAGGTATGGTGAACAACTAAGGCACTTTTTTTATTTCTTATTTCAGAGTGCCAATTTCCGAGCTATCTAGAACAGCGAACAAAAAGCTCAATCGCATGGTCGTCTGAAATAAAAGCTTTCATAAATTTGTTTTTAGAGCCTTTTCAAAAGTTTGTACCAACACCCGGCCACCATTGCTTGCTCACATACTCTGAGCATGTAATGGACACGGCAGTTGCGTCAGCGTTCGGCGTGAACTTAGGTCATATTGCAAATGAGCGCTCTGTCAGAGTTCGTCGAGGACTCGGATCCAATCACAGGCTTCGTGATTGGATTCGAGTCCTCGCCGTGTCGATTGTACCACGTAAGTGAAAATAGATTATGTATATAATATTTGAAAGTATGAAAGATTGAGCCCAACAAAGTCAGAAATCAAAGACCACCAACAAGGCATTATAGACTACTGACATTTCTTGGGGACCCATGGTCAACACCTGTTCACTTCATGGCTGAGAGAACTACCCAGGGCGCAGGCTGGGGACATTTTTGTCTGGAAGCTTCGTTGGACAGCTAGTGCACTAGTACCCAGTTACACGGGCGCTCTCAGCTGCCATTGAATCCAACAACAGTCGAGTCCATCGCGATAAGCCAAAGTTACACGGCAGCGCCAACCGTCATTGAGCCGCTAATGACAGTTGAGTTCGACTGAGCTCCCCCACCTCAGTTCAACCGAACGGACTTCCCCAACGAAGGTAAATTGGCACCTGTTCGCGGGACCGCTGCCAGCAACCATTGTTTGTGAGGCACTTACTGTTTCGAAATGCAGGGGGAGGCGTCTAGAAAGAATCGTAGCAGCAGAATTCTCGGGAAGGAATAAATTTAGGCGTCCGAGCTGCCAATAATAGCATCCCGGCTAGCCGGCAAGATTCCAAACGAGCAAAAATGGCGGAGGAATCTGCTGCACAAATAGACAAATAGTAGTGGGGCACCCATCATAGCGGGCAGTAGCTTGCACCACCTAGCCTAAATGATGTGCAACCTAGCCCTGAATCTGCTTTGGTACTTGTGTAAATGCCGCTAAAAAGCAACAAGGTATCAAACATATAGTATGATCTACTTAAAATAAATAAAACGTGTGTCTCCGAGTAAATTACTATAAAAATTAGACTGATCACACGGCACAAGAACCAGTTTCGTGCTAGCTTTAACTGGGTTCTAGAGAGTTGAGTTGAGTTCAGTCAAAGTTGAGGCTGATAAATGTCGTAGACTCAACGATAGTTGAAAGTGTACGTGTAACTAGGGAAACTAGGGGACTGGCTTGCAAGGTTTCAAGGACAAGCAATTCTAACTGATGTGGTACAGTCTGCAGCAATATGAAATACCTACTCAGAGCGCATGGCCGAGGCGGTGGCCGAAAGGGGCGCAGTACATGATTCGGACAGTTCCATGTTGCTCAGAGGGGAGGCTCGCTCAAGGCTGAACCACTGTTGGTTGTTTCAGGCACTGCACAAAATTTTCCATCCAGAATTAAATGTTGCTAACTGACAGCTCTCAGCTGTCTGTATACATCTTTCGTGCTTTCATTCTTTCAATTTTAACTACTGAATTTTACAATGTGCGTGCACTAACCAGACTGACCTACACTCAGTGATAAATCAAGATCAAAGAGCGAGGAAAACGAAGGTGGGAAAGGAGAAAACAGATGGGGTGTTGAAGGTGAGAGGACAAAAACCTCTTCTACCTTCAGTCTGCTTTCTCCTATCCAGCCTTCGTTTCCCTTGCCCTTTGTTACTGACCTGTTACTGACTATTACTATTTAGCAATTTTACAATTGCATAAGGAGCTAAAGTTATTCATGCAAGTTTTGATTCACATTGAATAATAATTTATAATGAACAGCCTTATACCGGGACACACTCTTTCTCTTGAGGCATCGTCCGAAGAGTCGCTGTCCATATGGCCAGCAGGCCTCCTCGCCCTTTCCTGTCTTGGGGCTACATCCGGTCTGTCAGTCCAAATTGGGTGCTCAGGCAGCTGCGACCAGATGGTCTGAAGCGTGCTGCAGTGTGGCTGCATGAGAAACGATCATCTCAATTATACGCTCAATTTAAAAAAAAATCGCCAACCTAATGTAGGAGTGAAGAATCTTCACTGGGTGATTCGACCAAGTCAGTGTAATCTGTTCTTTCCCTAAATTGCACAGAGGACCTGCTGCTTTTGCTTGTAAGGTGGCCAGTAGGAGACGACTTGCTCTAGCTTCCTCACCAGCCAACACTCCGAGACGACGTATGCGCTCCCTTCATCTAAAGTGCATGACGTGGTAGCTATAGAGAAAAAAGTGTGGAATATGCATTCTACCAGAATATTAGAACCTATTTTAGACAGCTTGGGCAATGTTGGGGGCCCCGCCAGCAACCACTAACAAACCACTGCCAGATTTGTTTATTTTTGGATGGAGAAATCCGCTAAACAAATTTTTAAAAAAGTTACTTACAAATGCAGGTTTCTGATACAAGCATAATGCACTAAACTCACAAAAAACTGTAGCAGAGATCCAAAATAAATACATCTAGCAAAACAGGCACGTCTAACTTTCAGCGAGACGCAAAACGTCTGCACTTGACCCGCAGCGCGTGACATCTTTTCGTTGCACGATTTGAAAAAGGAGCTCACTGTCACTCACGAGACGCGACCACAGACTGAACAGTGAATACGCTACACTTAGGAGCGAAGCAAGAGGTCTGTTTAGGGCATAGGTTCATGATGATGTTGTTCAATTGATGTTGTGATGCTTCTGCTATCTATTTCAAGCCAAAATAAGAAGTCTTTAGCCACTTTACTGTCAGCCCCTGTTAATGTTGACACAGCAAGGCTGGGGTGCAAAGACCAGGCACCTAGCCAGGGGGGGGGGGGGGGGACCATAGGGCCCCCCCGCAATCTTCCATTTTCCTGGGACCTCCCCCCCCCCCCTCATACAGCATTTTGTCATGGGCGGGCGCGCTCCTCCTCTCCTGCTCCTCCTCCTCCCTTTCCCCTCCCCCCCCCCCCCCCCAAAAAAAAAAAACCTGGCTACGTGCCAAGCAAAGGCCCCTGTCGAAACTTCACTGCCCAACTACTCAGCTGCTTTGTTGTAACGCAAATGAACTTCTGAACGAGAAACACCAATCGAAAGTTAGACATGATGATTGAAAACCTGAGACTGTGGTTAAAAAATGGAAGAGATGCTCTCTGTCACTTTGTCTTTCTACTAGGGTGCCAGGAACGCATCTCCGACTGGTGTGTTTACCGTGTCCAAAAAAGTGGTCCCTCGACTTCCGCCTGATGACGTCATAAAAGTGTCATGCTGTCGCTGGTCGCGAACCTGGTGGCGTCCCAATAGTTGTGGTGTATGTGGCGACGCCTGTCCTGCTGCAGGTCGCTCTCCACTGTGACAGTCCACGGAAGCTACAGCAGCTGCAAGTTGGGACGCCGTGACGACAGCGACACTCGTGTTCGCTTGTGCTTTTCGCCAGCATTTCTATGGCCCACCGCCAGGATCGCGACAGTCAACAGCATGACACTCCGGCTTCTGTGACGTCATCTGTTGCCACTTCGGGACCACTTTTGATGTATGGGCGGGATAGGACGCTAAACACACCAGTCATAGACGCGATCCAGGCACCATACTTTCTACATCACGTTTTTCCGTTTTCCAACCACAGACTCAGGTTTTCAATCGTCATGTATAACTTACACCAGCTCGCCCGCACTTTAACCGTTTTTTCATTGAAAGTTAGAAATGAACGAACTTCTGGGCGAGATCGAAACAATCGAAAGCTAACATTTTTGTAACGAGCAGCTGCAGACTGCCGCCGAAAAGCGGCGCGAGTGCAGTGCTGGGGAGTGGGTTAAGACACGCCTCCGTTATTCACTCAAATGGCGTTGTTCGCTAAAACGTCATTCACGCATATGATATAATCAATTACCAGTAAAAAATCAATTATAAAAAAAAACATTATCAGTAAAATATTAATTATAAAAAAAAATCAATTATCGGTTTAAATAAAAAATAAAATATATTTATTTTCAGCGATAATTGTCAAAAATAAAATGTGTAAATATCGCAAAAAGCTATCAATTACCACTAAAAAATCAATTATAAAAACGAGCACTATCACTAAAACATTAAGTATAAAAAAAATATCAATTATCGGTGGAAACAAATAATAAAATATATATTCATGTTCAGCGATAATTGTCTAAAAGAAAATGTGCAAATATCGCAAAAAGCTTGACAAAAAAAAAAAAAAAAAAAAAAAGTATACCCACTGGGGATCGAACCCGGAACTTCTGCGTGAAAAGCGGACACTCTACCACTGAGCTACTGCCGGCTTTTTTTTTTTTTTTTTTTTTTTCTTTAATAAATGGAAGTTTACTAATAGCTACTCAGCCAAGTCCAACAGTACACACACATATAACACAAAAGGTCCAAAAGTCACAGTCCACCTCACACAACATGGCACGTAGAGTCCCACCCACACATGCTAACCCATGGAGCACGGGCACAGGCCACCAGTCACCAGAATCTCACACACGCGCACGTGAATCACGTTGGGCGACAAACACACATCTTTAGTAGTTCTGTACAAGGTAAAAGGTTACATTGGCTAGAATTTACCATTCACCCAACGCATAAACAGCGATATTTACATATTTACACAATTTAAAAGTGCGGTAGGTTTAAGCACGCATCAAAGAGGCTAAACCAATCTGGCACCGGTGGGCGGGCCTCGTACACACTTCGCACTTTCGCTATCTCTTCAATGAAAAGCGATCTGGTCGTCCGGGGCTGTTGGGCATTTCTGTCGATCATCCGGCACTTCCACAAGCTATGCAGCCCAAGAAGCATAAATAAATCGTAAGGGACAACTTCATGTTGTTCAACGGGGAGAAATCGTATACTGTGTTCTGTGAAGTCGATATCCTTTTTCAGTGTTCGTTGGAGAACGTCCCAAAAGTACACTGCGTCATTACAGTATATGAAGCAGTGTTCAATGGTTTCCGGTTTGTTGCATAATCGACAGTTAATAGACCATGGAACGAAAAACCCTCTTTCCTGTAGCCACGCTTTAACCGGAAGTGTGGAAGTGTGTAATTGAAAGAAAAATGTTTTTGCAATAGGCGATACACACATCTTTTTAACTCTTTTCAAAACATCCTGTCCAGGGCTGTCATTAAACCTTGATCTATAAATCGGTAGTGGGAAAAAATTTTCAACTAAGGCCTGAGACAAACATTTTCTAGAAACACTAAACAAGTATTCCAAAGAAAACCGGACATTTAAAAACAACAACGTGTCTACAACTTCTTTCCAAAATCCTCTTAGAACACACGAAACGTCATCCGTCGTTGAAACTATCAAAAAGGGCAAATGCGGCGCAAGCTTCGTCTGAACTAGCGAGGCCAGTAGCGGATGTCTGATATTCCTAAAGAAAAATAATCTAGATACAAGTTGACGGACAAATAAGTGGGCAAGGCCCAACCCTCCACACTCAAGGGGGAGGAATAAATTGTCTCGCCTCATCCGTTCCCACGAGGAACTCCAAATGAAAGTCGCGAAAAGTCGATGGAACGCTTGTATACGTGGGCGGGCACAGTGGAGGACTTGTAACACGTACATAAGTTTAGACGTAAGGAAAATATTGCACACGGCAGCCTTAGTAAAAATGGAAAGGTTTCGCACCCTCCAGGCATCTATTTTCCGTTTAATGTTTGTGGCAACTGACGTCCAATATAGCCCACTGTTCCTGGCCTGGTCTAGGGGTACGCCAAGGTATTTTATTGATGGCTGATTCCAGTGGATCCCTGCAAATTTGGATGGTGTTGTTCCCCACATGCCTAGCCAAAATCCGCTGGACTTGTCATTATTGACCGACGCACCGGTGACTGTGCAAAATTTCTGCGTTACGCGTAGAGCTTCTTCTACACTGTCTTTGTCGGCACAAAAAATGGCAACGTCGTCGGCATAAGCCAACAACTTCACTTCGGAGAAACAATATTGGTACCCACGAATATTGAGGTTTGTCAGCACGCTTAGGCAAAGCGGTTCCAAGTATAAGGCAAATAGAAGAGGAGATAGAGGACATCCTTGTCTTACTGAAGACCTTATAGCAATGGGATCGGAGAGAGTGTTATTAACTATGATCCTGGTGGAGCAGTCCTTGTAGCATAATTTAACGCCGGAGAGGATGGTGTCTCCGATATTGAGGTGGGCAAGGACTTGAAACAAAAATGAATGGCTGACTCTATCGAAGGCCTTTGATAGATCGATTTGTACTAATGCAACTTGGTCATTGCCTTCAGTCACACAGTCGAGTACAGACCTGGCAATGTGCACATTAGTCTGAATAGTTCTCTCCCGTATTCCGCAAGTCTGGTGTTCTCCAATTAAGTTGTGAGCTACCTCGTGAATTCTTTCGGTGAGTAATTTTGCAAATATTTTGTAGTCAACGTTACATAATGATATTGGTCTGTAGCCTGTAACTTTTCTCAACACTGCTTCGTCTTTGCTCTTTGGTATTAAGACAGTATGTCCTTGGTAAAAAGTAGGCGGAAGCATTTTTTCTTTATATCCGAAGCGGAATACATCAAGCAGCACTGGAGCTAATAAGTCAATAAATGTTTTATAGAACTCTGCACCCAGACCATCAGGACCAGGTGTCTTGTTCGCGGGTAGTGCGTTTATGGCATTTCGCACTTCTTCTAATGTTAGGTCACCGTCTATCATAGTTCTTTCTTCCTCTGATAAGACTGGTAAAAGTGAAAGCAACTCTTCTGCGCCTGTCTCGTCTCCTGTTGATATTATTTTACCAAAGAGGTTGTTGTAATGTTCAAGAAAGACGTCTAAGATGCCGGGGGTATCAGACACGGAACTGCCCTCGTGGTCAATCGCTAGGATTTGTTTTGATAGCGCGTACTTTCTTTCGTCATTTAAAGATCGCCGCGAAGGGGGTTCCTTTAGCAGAAACCTCTCCGATCGCGAACGAATGACTGCTCCTCTGTACTTCTCTGCATCATATCGCTGTAGCTGTGCCTTGGTTATATTAATGTCCTCTGTGTAAGTTCCTGGACGCAAAGATTCCAGCTCATATAATGTAGTAAGTGTGTTAAGCAGTATTCGTCGGTCTTCCTTTCGTTCAAACGCAAGAAGACTAGAATACTCTATAGCCCAGTTCTTTACGTCTTGTTTAAACATATCCCACTTAGCAAAGATGGAAAGCATCGGGACACATAGCACAGATGAGAGAATATCCGGAATGCGAATAGAGAAACGTTTCTCTGATAAGAGTGTGACATTAAATTTCCAAAGTTTCCATTGGGGGCGAAAAGATGACAGTTTTCTCTCCCCAATACATGTTGACACCAGACAGTGATCAGAAAAGAAAATAGGTTTTACATTATAATCACTAATTTTAGCGAATAATTCACCGCGAACGTAAATTCTGTCAAGGCGAGCATGTGCTGAATTTTGAAAGTGTGTGTAATGCAAGTCTCCATTTTTGTGGTCACCAATGTCTACAAGATTGTTGTCTGCAACGATTGATCCCAGCACAGTTGCGCTTGAATCATACCTTGACGTTGGCTGCGAACGATCTCGGATATTGCATACACAGTTGAAATCTCCAAAAAGAATAATATTCCTATCTGTTATCAAATGGTGAGCTACGAAAGAAAAAAACACATTCCTAGCCGATACTGTATTAGGCGCATACACACACATAAACCGCCAATCCTCGCCGTCATACTTTAAGTCACAGGAAATGAAGCGCCCCTCCTGATCAATGGTCAGGGAAATGGAGGAAAAGTCTCTAGCTTTCTTCAGGAACAGAAAGCATCCTGCTGAGGTGCCGCAAGCATGGCTTACACAAATTTCAAAATCAGCCAGGAAAGGTTCCAAGGCAACATCGGTCTCATGTTCTTCTGAAAGCTTAGTTTCCTGCACAGCAAGGATGTCTATCTGTTGGTGGTGTAAAAGCTGGAGAAGTTGATGCTGTTTTCTTTTAGACTTTAAACCTCTAACATTTAGGGTGGCCACTCGAAGTGGAAGGGCGCTACTCATGACAGTCTATGGTTGGGGATGATCGGTCACAGGGATGCTTTTAAACGATGTGGAACCTGTTCCATGTTTGGTGTAAGGCTTTTGGCGCTTGCCTCCCTGCTTTCGATCAAGGAGCTTTGATCGAGCAAATGAGCCGTCACCAGGCGTGTCATCCTTACGTGGTTCCTGGTGAACCAGGCTCTGGGATGGTATTTCCTGCACGTCGTTTTCTTCAGGCGCAGTCAAGGTTGGTTTTTCAAGGGTAGTGTCACGGGAGTCGTTGTCGGTCGTGTCATGAGTTGTGCTGTGGGTCGTGGGTAGGCTGCTTTCATCTACGGGTACCTGAGGCAGGGGCGGAAAGTCAGGTGACACTTCGCCCGTCGTGGAGGAACCCGAGCACACCAACACGCCAGGGGTAGGTGGAACCTTTTGGCCAGACTCTTCTTGTGTTTCTTTTTCAGGCTCAGGAGGTGACTGGTCAGTAGCTGGTTTGCCCTCATAATCAGCGGGAGGAGGGATCTCACCCGTGGGCTCAACCACTTCGCTGACGTCCATGAGGAGCTCCGTCGATGTTTCTTCCCCACGAGTAGTTCCTTGCTTCAATTTATCTGCGTACGTAAGTACGCAGTCTTCTGGGGAATGTCCGAAGCGTCCGCAGTCAGAGCATCGCGGTATCCGACAGAAGCGGCGAATATGGCCAACCCTGTTACACCGGAGACAGAGCGGAGGTCTGCCCGGCAGGATTACGAAACACTGACATCCGAAGACCATCAGAAGGTAGGGAATCTTGGAGGAGGACACGCCCTCTGCTAGCGACAGCGTTACGTGTCTATTCATGGTTTCCATAGTTTCCATCCCTGGGACCCTCCATTTTTCTCTCTCGATGGAGATCACCTTTCCGTAAGGTTGAAACGCTTCCACAACTCTTCGATCCTCGATGTGGCTCGGCAGCCACATCAACTTAAGCTTGACGTCTTTCGTTTCGGGATCGATGACGAGACATCTCTTCCCTTTTACGGTAAGCTCCTCGCGTGAGGCCAGTTTGGCCTTTGCTAGAGCATTTGTGCACGTGATCATCCACACGTGTGACATCTGGTATTGTCCGAGACTTATAATATCTTTTGGGTCAATAATAGAACAGATGGCATCCCTAAAATCCGGGGCACGATATGGTCGGGCAGCCATGTCCGCGTGAAGGAACAGAGAATTGAGAACGACGTTACCTGAAGGCAAACGGGGCATCAGAATACGGTACGTATCCATACTGTTGGCAGAAGAAGATTCAGATGTGGACGGAATAACTCGGCCAGAAGCCGATTTGGAACTTTCGGCGGAGAACATGAAAACACGTCCACTCGGAACGGCGTCTTCTTCTTTCTCCTCAGCTACTGCCGGCTCGGATACTTCTACTCTTACGATTCGTGTTATACAAGAAACAACATGCCAGTTCGGCGTTCGCGACAGTTTTTTTTTCATAGGTTTGTCATGACGGTTGCCGGCAAAATCCCCACTTCCCATTAACAATCACACAATCAGCAGAATCTAAAAAGTGCACAAGAGCCGCTAACATGCCGCTGACATGCCGCCGACCGCCTGATTTTGCAATGACAAGCCAGTGGCCCGAGCTTCCCCGACCTTGCGAACCAAGCGGGCTGCGACGACAGCGTCATCACGCTCGCACGAACGGACGGGGCCGCCTTTCCGAAGCACCGCTAATGCAGAGCTTGTCAACTGAGCCGTTACTACTAACCCTATGCCCATTGTGTTCCAATCACTTTGCAAAACAAAACACCGAGTAGAAAATGGACTTACTCCTTGATCAGCGTATTCATGGCCTCTTGTCTCTGGACGCCGCCGCGTGCTATCTTGGGTGGCTTGAAATGTGCACAAACCGATAACAAAGCTTCTCAAATCGTCGAACCTTGAACGCCTTGAACCGCTTGAAGTTGAACTAGGCCTGATGAGTCCACCATCAGCCAGCTGCACCGGCCATTGCACCGGCATCAGCGCGACACGATCGAGTGGATGGGTGAATAATAAAATTATAAGTTCTCTTTTTGCAATGGGAGGTAGTTCGCGCCACCTGGCGGACAACTATCACCGCGCAGGGAACCTAGTCAGATTTTCGGGGATTAGGACGAACATGAATATATTTTAATTAAAGCACCCGTCACTTCTCTTTTATGCAAGAGTCGCCAGTTTTCGTGTTCACCCTACGCAGTCGGTGTACAGGGTCGTGGGTATGCATAATCAAGTAATGGCGGAACTGGCGGAACTTGCTGGGACGAGATCACTTCCGGTTCATCTGCTTCATCTGCTTCATTTGTATGTTTGCTCGGTGAGCAGGGATAAGCAGCGCGCCTTTTTTTTTATTTTTTTTTTTAGTTTTTTTCGTTGGAAAATCGGAAAAGGTATGTCGAAGACCGGACAATTGGCCTTGGACCGGACCTAAGATAGATCAGTGTATGTTTCTGGACCTTACGGAGCCAAGAAGAAGCACCGCATCTCGTTTTATTTGGCCTCCGTAGCCAAAGTTACGTAACCCTATGTGACGGGTCAGTGGAAATCTGTGTACACGTGAGACATTCAACGAAGTTAGACGCCCACAAATCAACCGAGGCATCGGCATGTGATTGTTTTGTGTTTTTCGTGCACGGGAGAGCATTTGTGAGAACTGCATCGCATCGTCAACTGCGCGGCGTCGCGGTGAGTGTTCGAGCTGGGCAAAGCGAGACTACGCTACGCCTGTCGGACGTAGTTGAAGGAAGGTGCGCAGGATTGTGCAACTGGTGCTCGATCGTGCCGTGGAAGAAGAAGCGGTGCGTTTTCGACGACGTGTAGAGATATCGTGATCGGGACAAAGCCGTCGCACTGTGTATAGTACGATTGTGCCGTTCGTTCCCCTCAAAAAGCTAGCGGCGTGTTTTCGACGACGAGTGTAGGTCTCGTGATTGTGACAACGTCGGCCTACCACGGCGGGAAGTGTGATTCGTT